CTTCTGCTGTTGGTGGCCCCAGAACTGGAGGCAGCACTGCAGGTGGGGTCTCAGGAGAGTAGAACAGAGGGGCAGAATCCCCTCCCTTGACCTTTTGGCAACAATTTTCCTGCAGGGGGGAGTATTATAGAATCATAGAATCATAGAATCATAGAATGGTTAGGATTGGAAGGGACCTTAAAGATCATCTAGGAGAATTAATAGATCAAAAATAAAACCAGAAGAACACCAATATCCAAGAAAACATGATTTTGTTTTAATCCTAACTTCCGAAAACTTCAAGATATGTTTAATGAGAAATTTATGTGCCTGTGAAACCTGTATAGATTTCAGCATATTCTTCAATTTAAGTGTGTAGTTTACTGAACAAGTCAACTTCTGCTGAATCTTTACTTAAAATACTCTCTCAGAAAACTAGACCTCAGCTTTGAATTCATTAGTAATAGTAATTTAGGTTATTCTAATAGAATAAATGGAGGCACAATGTGCATGCAAGAGAATATTATTCTTATTCTATTCTTAATTGCTATTAGCCTGTTCTTACAAAAAAGATCATTTATTAGTGTAGGCCTGGATCAAAGAATGGGCTTAATAATTAAATTTTTCTCTGTTTTTCATGTTAAGTGTTTTAGGTCTCACTGCCTTTTTGGGACATTGTCTTCTTGCATGAAACATCTGTTTTGTGCACAACAGAGTTTTGCTTTCTCATTGAATCCTTGAGATACTGTATAAGTACGTTGGTGTACATGACAACCTGATAGCCTTTTTCCTGAAATTCCCATTTGCTTTCCCTATCTTCTTCTTCTTCCTTGTTCCATGTAGTGGACTGCATGGATCCTACCTGCTCGGGACGAGGCGTGTGCGTGCGAGGAGAGTGTCACTGTTCTGTTGGCTGGGGAGGAACAAATTGTGAAACCCCAAGAGCTACTTGTCTGGATCAATGCTCTGGTCATGGAACTTTCCTCCCGGACACTGGACTCTGCAGCTGCGATCCCAACTGGACGGGACATGATTGCTCAATCGGTAACGTCAACGGTGACTTACTGTTGTTTTTTATTGTATTGAAACTTTGTAAAATATTCAGATTTAGATCTACAAAAAGAGTGCTACAAATGTGTTCTTGTAAAGGACATGTAGGGCATGACTGGAAGCAGAAATGCCGTAGCTCAACCACATAAATAATTCTGCTTCCATTGCTGAGCACAGAGTAATGTAATAAATAACCCCATTAAAGCCACCAACGCTTGCTATTGTTCATTATATTGCTATGAATATAATTGATGGTCTACATATAACTGCTTGTTCTGGTGTTAGTTCTTGATGAATCCCAGTAGCCACCAAAGGGTCTGTTTTGATTTTTGGGAGATGACTAAATATTCTTTAGGTGGCTGTAAACAAGAAAGAAGAGGTGGCAATCCTTCAGGTCTCATTTCCCTTCTGAATTTAAAGGCTGTGCTTTTCTAGGCTCAGCTAAAGGAGGATGAGTGTCACATGGGGCTTGCATTAAAAGACTGTAAGCACTGTCCTCTATCAAGTAAAAAATATGTTAACTGAGTAGAAGTATTTAATAGTACAAGCACCTACCAAAGAAGACAGATTTTTATGGGCAGTTTTGTGTAGAGGTCTGGGACTGTGACCTTCCTCCATTCCGCAGCTGAATGGGCATCTTGCTCAAAATCTGCATCAGATGTCTGAAATGAAAGCTAAAGAAAAGTTGTTCAAGGGCCTTTTCTTCCAAGTGCAGTTAGATTTTAGATGCCACACTGAATCACAGAATGGTTTGGGTTGGAAGGGACGTTAAAGCCCATCCAGTTCCAACCCCCCTGCCATCAGCAGGGACACCTTCCACTAGACCAGGTTGCTCAAAGCCTCATCCAACCTGGCCTTCAACACTTCCAGGGAGGAGCAGCCACAGCTTCTCTGGGCAACCTGTTCCAGTGTCTGAACAACCTCACAGTGAAGAATTTCTTCCTAATATCTAATCTAAACCTGCCCTCTTCCAGTTTAAAGCCATTACCCCTTGCTCTATCACTACCTGCCTTTGTAAAAAGTTCCTCCCCAGCTTTCTTGTAGGCCTCCAAGATGTACTATAGAAATGCTATAGTACATTAAATAGTCAGAACCTATGGAACATTCATCTTTTGGCTTTTTTGCTGTATATTGTGCTCACAAATAAGAAACCACAGCAAAACCAGCTTCTTTACCTTACACAGCTGGGCTGGAACTAGGCCAAAAATCCAGGGCAGCTCAGTATAGGCAATGAAGTGAAATGAATTTTCAGCAAAGCGACAAAAAAAAACCCATTAGGAGAGTGGATACAGTAGAAAAAAAATATGTAAACAACATATTCACAGAGGAGTTACTATCATATGTAAAGAAAATCAGCTGAACAGCTTGCAAGTATTTTAACAGAGTAACTTCCAAGGATGGGGCAAACTGAATAAACTGCTACAAGGGATATAAAAAGAAAACCTTTTTCAACAGTCATCATTTAGGTTAGATGTTAGGAAGCTTGTCATGAGGTAAAATTAACTGGGCTGAAAAACAAGCAAAACAAGCAAAAGAGAAGGCCTAGTTGTCTGGGGCTAAACCTAGGTTGATCAAAACTTTTGCAGATGTGGGGAGGGAAGCTATCCTGCATGGATAGGAGGATAAATTTGGTGTTAGACTTTTCCTTTCCCCATATTAACATCTTCAATTTCATACTCAAGAGTTCATTTATAAATCCACTATAAAGGGAAAGGTAGTAGTGTATTTCTAGTGATTTTGTAGCATAGTTCATAATTGAGTCATTATTCTGAGTTTATATGGAGGTTTGGGGATTGCAGGGATGGATTTGGAAAAATGTTCATTTCTACATGCAAACAGAATTCACTTTCCCTTTTGTTAACCTGCAGGGTCATGTATAGATGATTTATAAGCTTTCCTTATACTGCTTTTATAAATCCATCTAGTGCAAACTTTCTTTGACAGTGTAAGGTTATTTGAGACAAACTTGAGCATCATTCCAAGACCTTTTTCCTCACCGAGCTGATTGTAACATTCAGGTTATTGTGCCTCACAGCTAAAATCACAGCTAAGGTGATTTGTAAACTTCCATTTCTAACCTGGACCTTTCTACTGAATTGATAACTTGATTTGAAAGATACATTTACTCACAGGATGTGTGGTACCCTTCTTGCATGATTAAAATAGAGTGAGTAGGCATGTTAGTACACATAACAACACACTGCCCAAACCAGTGGGGTGGAAGTTCTGTAGAAGAGACTAAAGGGCCCAGATTTTTATTGTCCTATAAAACAGGAACAAACAGAGCAGCAGAATTATTAAATGAAAAAATTAAGTACTTGAATAAATCAACCTCAGCTCAGCGAAGCAGTTAGGACTGTGTTCAATCCCAGTGAAGTCTGTAGGACTGTGCCTCCATGGGCTAGTGCCAAGGACTGCCCCCTTAAACCATATTGAGAAGCAGACCCTGAGAACAGCATAATCATCTGGAAACACAGAATAAAAAATGAGGAGACATAGAAGGTTCTCCAGCTTTTAACATCTTGAAGTCAAAACTGATACCTATCTGAAATGTGCTATGCTGTATTCATTCAGGAGGTACCAGTCACTGTGGAAGCAGCTTGGCCTATGCAGAAAGACTAGACTATCTTTGAACCTTAGACTCAGTCTTTCAGCTAAGTAGGTAGATTTCACCTGCCTTTAGCAGGAATCTTAGAGGAACACAGATTGCTGGATAAAACCCTTAGTTTTTCACAAGATAATAATATTACAGTGATTTCTGTTTCCTGCTTATCTTTTTTTCATTCTGCTTAGCCCTGCATCTTCATAGACAAGCTGTGCAATTCAATTTCTTGTGACTTCTGCTTGGCACTGCATTGTAAGAAGAAGTAATGATATGGGTTGGTTTTTAGATTGTTTGGTTTTTGTTTTGCTTTATGTGTGTGCCCACTGGCAGTATATCCCGAGACAGGGCTGCTGCTATACTACCTCATATTTTTCACTCTGGAAAAATGCTTCTTAAACATGCATTAGCGTTTCATAGAAGGGATAGTTTCTTAGGATCTCCTTTCCTTCAGCATGTGTTTCCTTTTTAGTAATTTCCCAAATACAGAAGAAAGTCTTTTAGTGAAAGTTGCAGAGATAAGCCCAGAGATAACCTGCACTGATCAGCAAACGGGGCATTTTGATTTCTCCGTGGGAGAATTAAATCTCTTTCCTTTTGCATCTTAGTACTGTTGCACAAACAAGTACAAGAAGGTCCTTTATAACCCAGTTCAGCTGAGAAGTCCACAGCAATGCTTAGTACAAGAAAGATCATTAAGGAACTGCTCATCCTAACCCCTCTTCTCCAGGATCTGCTCTCCCGGATCCTCTGTATCCCAGGTTTTTGGTGTGCTGTCTCCCTTCACCTCTTAATGAGCCCTAGCAAAGGACTTCATTCTCCAAGCATGGCAACTAATGAAGCCATTATAGGGCAGCTCTCTTAACTGCTTATTGTCCAAGTATAGTGGGAAGAAAGAAATGGCCTGTGCTGTGTGATAGTTTAACTTGGCTGGCAGCCAAACAAGACACAGTCACTCGCAGTGCCCCCCACCCCTTTCCCCCCCACCCAGGAAATCAGGGAGAGAATTGGAGGGGTAAAGGTCAGGAGACTTGTAGGTTGAGATAAGAACAATTTAATCATTAGAGTAAAATAATAATAATAATAATAATAACAACAACAACTATATATATATGAGTGATGCAGAGTACTATTGCTCACCACCCACTGATAACAGTCCTGGAAAGGTGAGCCCAAGTGATTCCAGAGAGAATCCCCCCAGTTCCAGTCAGCCCTCGTTAATATACTAAACGTGACAGGATATGATCTGGAATATCTCATTGGCACATCCAACTGTCAGTTCTGGGTTTTACTGACTACTACACTTTTCTTCTCCACTCCCCCTTCCAGTCCCCTCTTTTTGTAAACTGCCCAAGCACAGTGTCCTTGCAGTTGTCAACATTAATCTCATAACAATCCCTACTGAAACCAAAACACAGTGCTTGCTAGCTACTAAGAGGAAAATTAACCCAATCCTAGCAAAAATCAGGACAGCTGCAACGTGAAGCAGAACTTAATATGTGATAGAGTCTCACTCTTGACCTATTTAAACTGGACCAAGTATTTTCTGGCTAATCAAGAGGCCACCAAACATGTACCATAAGACATATTTGCTGAGTGCAGTGAAATGAGTAGGTGAGTCATGTTATCTGCATTTGGGGAACGCACATTTCCCAGAGGGATCTCACTAATGCATCAATACAATCACAGGCCCATCAAAACTGTATTATTTTTGGATGCAAAATCATTCTTAAAGGAACTAAGTTATCTGATGTTGTCCTTCACTCTCCTCAAATTTAAATCAGTGTTTTTCACACTGTTCTCTGACATCTTGACATCCATGATATTCACAAGAATCATTGGCAAGTTGATGATACAAAACAGCAATAGAAATTATGTTCCCTGTGTAATAAGTGTGCTGACTTTTTCTGGGCAGTTGATAGTGGTTGTACATTGACCTGCATACAGATAAGGATCCCTTCTCAATCACTCATTCATAATGACTCACTTTGTGCACGGTTGACATCCAGTGCAATACTTCAGACCTTTAAATGTACACTGGAGAAGAGCAGTAACAAAAATAGTATTTTGTATATGGTGGTCCTAAATTGGCAGTGGAGATATAAAATCATGGGCTGTACATTGAGTGATAAGAGCTGGGAACTGGAAGCTGGGACTCAGTGAAAAAGTTAGAAATTATTATGATTTTCTTCACATTTTGAAAAGGCTAAGAGAACATCTTTACAGTGAGGATGATGGAGCACTGGAACAGGCTGCCCAGGGAGGTTGTGGAGTCTCCTTCTCTGGAGACATTCAAAACCCACCTGGACACCTTTCTATGTGATCTAATTTGGGTTCCTGCTCTGGCAGGGGGATTGGACTAGATGATCTTTCGAGGTCCCTTCCAATCCCC